GCCCACCAGCCTCAGAATTTCCGGGGGGGGGTCACTCTCCAGGCCTTCCCTCTGTAGCCACGCATGCAGAGGTTATGGCAGTAGTGGGCGTGGCCAACTCTGAAGCCAGCCGGAACTCCGTTCCTGTGCGTTCCTGCCCAAAAATAGCCCTGGGAAATACATTTTTACAGTAAACGTTGTGCAACAGTGGCATCGGCTGCCCAGGGAGGTGGTGAGCTCCCCCTCACTGGCAGTCTTTAAAAGCTGTGGCTGGACTCTGGAGCCAGGGAGGCTCTAGGCTGATACTGCATTGGGCAGGGGGTTGGACTAGATGGCCTGTCTGGCCCCTTCCAGATCTGTGATTCTAAGACAAAGACTAGACTCTTCTTCTCTAAAGTAGTTTCTCTGGTAAAACTATAGTTTACCACTTGAGCATGCTATTCCCCCCCCCCTAACATTTTACGTTGTCTAACCAACATGACTGTTTCCTAGATTGCTCCAAAGTTTTGATACCAACCAACGGCCTCTGCTGCTTGGAAACATGTCACATTAAGTATATCACAGCAGGTTAAAAATACATCTCCTATCGCTGAGGCTATTCAATGACATTCTGCAGATGGTGGCTCTTTAAGCTGGCGGAAGGAGAAGAAAGATCCACCATCGGCAGAAAAGAGCCTGTAGGATAAAGTCTTAAGCATGAAGTTACTAGAAGGCTTTAGACAACTCACCCCTGCGGCTAGCGACCTTACCACTGCATAAAACCAGGGGTCATTTCTTGCAGGAGCGCACAGGAGCGGAGCTCCGGCAGTAAAGAGCCCAGGGGGTGGGCACAGGCAACAAGCCCCACCCCCTGCTCCCACTCAGTCAGAGCAAGAACCAGCCGGGTAAGCTGCAGAGCCCCCCCCCCCCCGGCTCCCCGGTCCAAAACAGTCCAGTGGCACTTTTAAGACCAGGTTTTATTCAGGTACAAGCTCTCCCTCCTCTATGAGGGACAGATCTCCACGTTCCCCCCCCCCCAACAGCTAGCAATCCAAAACAGTCCAAAATAAGTGGAGCCTGAGCGGTGGGTGTTGCCTTCTGACACACTTCCGGTGATGTCAGGGTGTGTGGCATATGCAAATGAATTATGCTAATGAGTTATGCTAATGAGCTCCTGCACCTCTTTTTCTACGAAATGACCCCTGCATAAAACTATCTAATGATTATTGAGATAACATATGTGAAGGGCTCTGAACACCCTAAAGTAAAAGGTAAAGGTTCCCTTGCTCGAAAGCCAATCGAGTCCAACTCTAGGGTTGGCTCATCTCCATTTCAAAGCCGAAGAACCAGCGCTGTCCGAAGACGTTTCCGTGGTCATGTGGCCGGCATGACTAAACACCAAGGCGCACGGAACGCTGTTCCCTTCCCACCGAAGTGGTACCTATTTATCTACTTGCAATTTCTTGCTTTCGAACTGCTAGGTTGGCAGGAGCTGGAACTAGAGACGGGAGCTCACTCCGTCATGCGGCACACCCGGGTCTCGAACTGCTGAACTACCGACCTTCCACAGCCTGCAGTTCAGCGTCTTAACCACTTGAGCCTAAAGTGCTGCGTAAATACTTACTGTCATTCCTGTTATATTGTCCCAGTGGTTGGATTCCCTGGGAACCTGTTTCTGCAGAGCAGAATAGCTGTGTTGCAAGGCATCAGCTTGGCAGGCAACCTCTGTTAGGGATGCTATTTCTGCACTCCCAGCCCCACAGGATTATGCCGTTTTACTAAGAATTTTTGCTGTTAGACTCAAACATGACCACATTTTGCAATCAGCTTGCTGACGGAAGGAATAGCCTTTTTTTTTTGCCAGGAAACCTTGCTGTTAGATTCCAATACTGTTATCATTCAAATGCTATATTTTGTAACTGGCTTCCTGACTGACCAACTAATTCTATCGTACCTGTAATCTGCCTTGAGTCCCAGTGAGAAGGGCAGATTATAAATGAAAACAAAGAAATTAATTAATTCGTATCTGCCTGGTTGTCACAAAAGGGACTGGAAGTGGGAGATACTTCAAGTCACTGTCGATGTGAAAACTGGTTCATCTGGTCTTCTTTATACTTAAAAAAAATAGGCGTGGGACAATTCTGGGAGCAGCAAGCATGTGGATCACTCAAAATAGCTTGTCTGTTAAAAAAAAATTACGCATGTTAATCAACTATGTTAACAGGTTACGAAGAAGAAGAAGAGGAGGAGGAGGAGGAGATTGGATTTATACCCTGCCCTCCACTTGGAGTCTCAGAGTGGCTTACAAACTCCTCTCCCTTCCCCCTCCCCACAACAGACACCCTGTGAGGGAGTTGGGGCTGAGAGAGAGCTGAGAGAACTGGCCCTGAGAGAACAGCCCTGACAGAACTATGGCTTGCCCAAGGTCATCCAGCAGCTGCAAGTGGAGGAATGGGGAATCAAACCTGGTTCTCCCAGTCCACACACTTAACCACTACACCAAACTGGCTCTCTTGACTATTTAACACTGACTATTTAAGATGCTGGACACATCATAAAACGAGACATGTAATAATCACATCACCACCTGCAGACGACATGTTCCGGTCCCACAGCGTGTTGCAGCTGAGAGGGAAAGCTGGACATTGTCTACAATAAGATTATTTATTGATTGATTTGATTTGTATCCTGCCCTCCCCGCCGAGGCAGGCTCAGGGTGGCTTACATTACAAGTTAAAATATTAAAGTACAGGTAAATGGAAGGGTTCGGGAGCCAAGTGACCAGGCGGGGAAACATTAACCACTAGCCACTGTATGTGGAGCAACAGATGACTAGTGGTGACAAAGGCGGTGCGGACCCAGCCCTTTCCTGAGCTCTCTGTGCTTTGTTCCTTGGAGGAACATTCTCCATTCCACCAGAGTAGTTTCCCCCTCAGTATGCAGTTGAGCTGCGGTGGCTCGAGTGGTTAAGATGCTGAACTGCAGGCTGTGGAAGGTCGGTAGTTCAGCAGTTCGAGACCCGAGTTGCCGCATGACGGAGTGAGCTCCCGTCTCTAGTTCCAGCTCCTGCCAACCTAGCAGTTCGAAAGCAAGAAATTGCAAGTAGATAAAGAGGTACCACTTCAGTGGGGAGGTAACAGCGCTCCGTGCGCCTTGGTGTTTAGTCATGCCGGCCACATGACCACGGAAACGTCTTCGGACAGCGCTGGCTCTTCGGCTTTGAAACGGAGATGAGCACCGCAACCCTAGAGTCGGATTTGACTGGCTTTCGAGGAAGGGAACCTTTACCTTTACTATGCAGTTGTAAGTAAAGGGTGGAGTAGTGCTTTCAGCCTTAGAATTCCACCATGTAAAAAGAGAACCCCCTTTCTTTGGAAACTGAGACACAGCTTAGTTTGTAACATTTATCAATACCAGGTGTCACTCAAATGGTTGCAAGTGTTCCAAAAAGGTATAATGATTATGTAAATCCTGCTCTAAAAGGTGTTTACTGATCTGGATGTGCTGAAGTTTGATTCCAGGTGCCAAGCTCTAATAACCCTCATTAGCTATTTAGCTAATTGAAACAAAACAGGGGACAAGCCCTTACTCCTGCTGATACAGGATGAAATTGGCTGCCCAAACAACCAATTTGTGAACCTCCTACGGCTCGAAAATATAGATGTTAATCTAGATGACATTTACACAGTTTTTCTGCCTTATGTTTGCTTTGAGGGAACCCTCAGCCAATCTTATGACAGCTCCTTTCCGTGGAAAAAAATTCTGACCCTGTCTTCAGAATAACACTATCACTTTCATACCAGAAGATTTCAGCACAGAAGAACCAGAAGGGAGAGGGAACCCCCCCCCCCCAGAATATTTTTGGTTTAACTACTCAGAAAAATTCAATGTCAGTGCTGCATAGACATGTGGTTCATAAATCTGCAACTTTTCAGAAGACAAACACCAAAGACTGGAACAGGTACCACATTAACGAAATAATTTTTCCTTTCTGGAAGCATTCCGTTCAAATTCTCTCCAGAAACAAGCTACCCAAAAATAAGCTATTATTGTAAGTGAGACTGGACAAAGAGGAAAGGTGGGTTTATATAAAAATGTTTAAACAAATAAATAAACGAGGGCAGGATTCAGCAGGTGCGTTGTGCTAGTGGAGGCTCTTTCCTCTAGTGGAATCATTTCCTGGTTTAAGAGGGTCCTATTTTGGCAAACGAGCATCTTACACCATGTGAAGACTCCTTTCCACCAGAGGAAAGTGCCTCTATTAGCGCGATGGATCTCTGGGATCCAGCCCACAGTAGGCTAATACTTATACAGCGCAATTTAAAGTATGTAATCCAATGAACATAGATTACTACTAGTGTAATCCTTACTACAGGCCACTAAAGTATACAAGCACTATCTACCCCATATTGCAAGTCCTTTTACTGCCTGCACTGGATGGGCCAAATCCGGAGGCTGCTAGGAGCCTTCTAGCCTATTCCCACTCTCATCCCCAAAGAAATGATCAAAAGCATGAAAAAAACGCCGAGATGTCAAATGGAATATTTTGTTAACAGTTCAGTTCCTAATTATATGGAGGCGGGAGAGAGGGCAGGACCCGGCCACCACCATTTGCAACACTGTCCAATGAACATAGATTACTACTAGTGTAATCCTTACTACAGGGCACTAAAGTATACAAGCACTATCTACCCCATATTGCAAGTCCTTTTACTGCCTGCACTGGATGGGCCAAATCCTGCAAAGACAGTAGTCAAGCCCCGGAGGCTGCTAGGAGCCTTCTAGCCTATTCCCACTCTCATCCCCAAAGAAATAATCAAAAGCATGGGAAAAACACCGAGAGGTCAAATTAAATATTTTGTTAACAGTTCAGTTCCTAATTATAAGGAGGAGGGAGAGAGGGCAGGACCCGGCCACCACCATTTGCAACACTGTCCAATAGTCATAAACCAGTCTTGATGTACTGTTTGTGAGAAATGTTTGCCAGGAAGAGAACGTATTCTTTATCGCTATGAAAGAGGTTTGGAAACGCAAGAACTTACTTCAAAAAGAAAGAGAATGGAGTCCAGCTCTTCCCTTTGCGATTTATTTCCTAGGAATAGAGGAACATTCTTGTTATTACGGATCAAGGTACTACTCCCGAGAACAAAATCCTGCCGGATGTGCAGTTTCTTAGTTCAGCTCAGTCATGAACAGGCCTGTCCATGTAAAAGTGGATACTTTAAGGCAAAAAAACACAAAATTAACAATGCTGCATTCTTCTTCTGCATTCTCACTTTCATCACTTATGTGTCCCTATTGCTCTGTGGGTTTTGTTTTGATTTCTGCACGTTTTGCTCCCTCTGGTGGTCGATTCAATATTATATTGCTATACGTCCAGCATTTGTTGTTGTTCAGTCGCACAGTCGAGTCCAACTCTTCGCGACTGCATGGACCACATCATGCCAGGTCCTCCTGTCCTCCGCCATGCTCTGGAGTCTGCTTAATTTCATGTTCGTTGCATCGATAACACTGTCTAGTCAGCTCATCCTTTGACGTCCCCTTCTTCTTTGACCTTCAATCTTTCCCAGCATCAGGGTCTTCTCCAGTGAGGGCTCCCTTCTCATTGGGTGGCCAAAGCATTTGAGCTTCAGCTTCAGTCCCGCATACTTCCCTCCAAATTTAAACTGCAGGTTTTTATGCTGGACATAAAGCAAAGTGATAACAAATTGACCACTAGAGGGAGTAAACATATGCAGAAAAGAAAAAATCCTGAAGCAACAGGGACACGCAAGTGACAAAAATGAGAACGCGGAAGAGCCCTAGGATTGCAGAAAAAGCATTAAACTATCTAAAACAAGGTGTAGACAATATATATAAATGGCGAATTACAAGTTTTAGAGACAAGGCAGAAATATCAGATGATACCTACAATAATCATTGTCATGAATTACAATCTCTATCAATGAACCTCATCATGGAGTTTGAGAATTCACAAGCATATGACTCTAGCAGTGCTGTGAAGGAAAGTCCTTCTACTTTGTCCTCAAACCTAGGTGTCTGCTTGGAATAATCTTTTTAACGTTTTTGCTCCAGCCTACAAGCTGACTGGCTGCTGCCTAAGAGCTGAATTGTAGGAAGTTACAGAATCACATGGAATGAGTGCTGCACAGGATAGTTCAGGCACAAGATGCTGACAGCTGGTGACTCTATCATGTGCAATAAGAACATGAGAGAAGCCAATGTTGGATCAGGCCAATGGCCCATCCAGTCCAACACTCTGTGTCACACAGTGGCCAAAAATACCAGGCACCGTCATGTTAGAGAATGAGCTTGATATTTGCTTTATGGACTATTTATTGCTATACACAATGGACTGTGCACACACACACAAATTTGGTTAACAGTCAGGAGGTCCACCAGCGGGGCCAGAACTCCAGTTCTCCCACTGTTGCCCCCCTCCAAGCACCAAGAATACAGAGCACCACTGCCCCAGACAGAGTGTTCCATCTATACCTTGTGGCTCATAACCACTGATGGACCACTGCTCCATATGTTTACCCAATCCCCTCTTGAAGCTGTCTATGCTTGTAGCTGCCACCACTTCCTGCGGCAGTGAATTCCACATGAAGAAAGACTTCCTTTTGGGTGAAGGATTTCCTTTTATCAGTTCTAACCCTACAGCTCATTAATTTCACGGAGTGCCCAAGAGTTCCTGTATTGTGAAAGAGGGAGAAAAGTACTTCTTTCTCTGCCTTCTCTATCCCATGCATAATTTTGCAAACTTCTATCACGTCACCCCTCAGTTGTCACTTCTCCAAGCTAAAGGGCCCTAACCTCTTCAACCTTTCTTCATAGGGAAGCTGTACCATCCCCTTAATCATTTCAGTTGCCCTTTTCTGCACTTTTCCCAACACTGTAATATCTTTTTTGAGGTACCGTGACCAGAACTATACACAATATTCCAATGAGGCTGCACCATAGATTTCTATAGGGGCATGATGATACTGGCTGATTTGTTATCAATCCCCTTCCTAATAATCCCCCCAGATAGCATCTGCCCTTTTTATTGCAGTTGCACATTGAGTCGACATTTTCGGGGAGTTATCTACGACGACTCTGGGGCAAGTGATGCTCTGTACTTCTTTGTGGTTGGGGGGGGGGGGGTCAACAGTGGGAAGGCCAGTTTGGTGTAGTGGTTAAGTGTGCAGACTCTAATCTGGGAGAACCGGGTTTGATTCCCCACTCCTCCACTTGCACCTGCTGATGTGACCTTGGGTCAGTCACAAGCTCTGGCACAGCTGTCCTTGAAAAAGAGCAGTTTGTGTCAGAGTTCTCTCAGCCCCACCCACCTCACAGGGTGTCTGTTGTGGGGAGGGGAAGGGAAAGGAGTTTGTAAGTCGCTCTGAGACTCCAAGTGAAGGGCGGGGTATAAATCCAATCTCTTCTTCTTCTTCTTCTTCTAATGTCCTGGCCCCACTGATGGACCTCCTGATGGCACCTGGTATTTCTGGCCACTGTGTGATACAGAGTGTTGGACTGGATGGGCCTTTGGCCTGATCCAACATTGGTGTCTCTTATGTTCTTATGACTCCACGATCTCTCTCCTAGTCAGTTACCACCAGTTCAGACCCCATCAATGTATATTGATAGGTAGGATTTTTGGCTGCAATGGGCGTTACTTTGCACTCGCCCACATTGGACCTCGTTTGCCATGCTGACGCCCACTCACCCATCCTCGACAGATCCCTCTGGAATGCCTCACAGTCCTCCCTAGTTCTCACCACCCTGAACAACTTACCGTCATCCACAAACTTAGCCGCTTCACTGCTTACTCCCAGCTCCAAATAATTAACAAACAGGTTAAAAAATTGCCGGACCTAGAACTGAGAAATGGGGAAGATCTATCTGGGAGATGGCAAGACACCAGAGAGCTCTTAAGGATACGAGGAACACACAAAGGGAAACATAAGGAAAGAAGAAATCAGGTCCATGCACAAGGGATGGCTGTGCGCTGTGGTATGGCAAAGCAGCACAGAAACGAAAGTGAGGTTGGGTGTTTAGGGAAATGAGAGGCTGAATAAGGGTGGGGCTGGGAGAGGAAAGGAGGCCCTGGGCTAGAAACCTGAGGGACTAGATATAGCAAAGATTACTTTCAAAAACTGATTTGAAATTGCTGGACGGATTATTGGCTGCAAGCCGCAGTAGCATGTAGTGAATGTATAACTTAAAATGTGTCTTTATTCACCAAAGCTGACAAAATAAGAAACGGAGACTGAGAAAAAGCGGGGTTGTGTGTCCATGAACTGCAAGATCCAAGCACCGTTGATCTTTTACACATTCTCCTCCCACAGCGCTCCTTTCCCAGCCTCAGGGAAAGTTTGTTCCTGAGGGCATGGATAGGGAGGTATTCTAGCTTTGGAAAAAGTGCAGAAAAGGGCAACTCGAATGATAAAAGGGTAGGAACACTTTCCCTATGAGGAAAGGTTAAGGCACTTGGGGCTCTTTAGCTTGGAGAAACGACAACTGAGGGGTGACATGATTGAGGTTTATAAGATTATGCATGGGAAAGAGCAGGTAGAGAAAGAGGTACTTTTCTCCCTTTGTCACAATACAAGAACTCGTGGGCACACAATGAAATTGCTGAGTGGTCGGGTCAGAACGGATAAAAGGAAGTACTTCTTCACCCAAAGAGTGATTAACATATGGAATTCACTGCCACAGGAAGTGGTGGCGGCTACAAGCATGGACGGCTTCAAGAGGGAATTAGATAGGCATATGGAGCAGAGGTCCATCAGTGACTATGAACTACAAGGTATAGATAGGGACTCTGGGGCAAGGGATGCTCTGTCTTCTTGGTGCTTGGTGGGGTCAACAGTGGGAGGGCTTCTAGTGTCCTGGCCCCACTGGTGGACCTCCTGAGGGCACCTGGTATTTCTGGCCACTGTGTGACACAGAGTGTTGGACTGGATGGGCCTTTGGCCTGATCCAACACTGGCGTCTCTTATTTTCTTATGTTCTTATGAGGTTGCAGTGGGGGGGGGGACAAAACTGCCCCATCTCCTTTCTTCCATTAGCGCAGCCTCACAATGCACGGCTATTTGTTTATGTAAAGCTTTTCTCTGCCACCTTTTCAACCAAACAGTCCGCCCGAGGTGCCAAAGATCAAAAACGTTAGAACGTAATTTAATATTTATCAATGCGATAAAAACATACGGACAAAAAAAAACCCCAACACAATCGACATCCCCACTGTGCTGGAGGGGTTGTGGTGAAATTCGTTCGTATAGGCACTCTTGGTGAGACTGTGCGCCATGTCAAGGCCGTTTGGAGACTGATCGTTAATCACATCTGTAACGTTACTGCTTTCCAACTACCACTTGACGCAGAATCCTTATTGTTAGGTACATGGCAACTTAGCCCTTCAGCCCCGGCTTCGTAAGGAACAGATTCTTTTATGTGCAGCCGCCAGACTTTTAATTGCAAAATCCTGGAAAAATAATACTCACCTTACATTATCAACCTGGCTACTTAAAAGTCTGTGATTTCTGTCTGACACACAAACTTACTGATTCTCTTCTTTCTAAGGCTACAGAATCGTTTGATTCTAAATTTACCTCCATCTGGTTCCCCTTCCTGGACTGTTTATCCACAAAACCTGAGTATTCTTCGATTTTGGATACCATAAATCTCCTGTATTGATGCATTTCATGGGATGTTTCATGTTAATGAAGTTCTTTGTCAAACTGTTGGGGTTTTTTTTGGTTAATAACGAGTCTACATTGTTTGTTATGTAAGTTTTATCACATGTACCAGTTAAGCTATATTTCTGACGTTAAGCTATATTTCTGACGTTATATGTACTTGCTTGTATTAAATAAAGATTAAAAGGTTGTTTTTTAAAAAAAAAAACACATACAAAACCAGGAAGGAGGACCAATAACAGACTGCTGGGGTATGCCAAAATGAAACAAAAAAGGCTTCACTTGTTGGCGGGAGACAGTCAGAAAGAGACAGACAAACCTCCCGAGTGAAAGAGTTCCAGAGTTTCAGCACCGTGATCAGGAAGGGCCCTTCTCAGTATGCCACCCACCAATGTCCCCTCTAAGCTGAGTCAGTGTGAGCTAGCTCACAGATTTTTAGCCTCTGGCTCACACACTGTTGTCTTAGGCTCAGGGAGCATGGCTCCAGAGCAAACTGATTTATGCAGCAGACAAATCCCTCGCTCACAACTTTAATGCCGGTAGCTCACGAAGCAGAATTTTTCTTCACAAGACTCCACAACTTAGAGGGAGCATTGCCACCCACCTAGCCACAGATGGCAGGGGCACCCAAAGCAAAGCCTGCAAAGACGACTGGAGTGGATGGGTAGGTTCATGTGGGAGAAGGCAGCCCTTAAGGTATGCTGGCCCCAAGCTATACCGGGCTTTAGAAGTCAATACCAACTAGGGTTGCCAAGTCAGAAGCTACCGGAGAAACACCTAAAGTAAACCTTACCTTTTTGTTTCAAGTTAGTTTCCAGTGTTATGAAATTTTCATAGAAGATAAAATAAATCTGAGAATAATTAGCTTCAAAAAATGGTTTAAGTTCACTTCCATCCATAGCATCTGCAGGACAAAAAAAGAAAGAAAAAGAAAGCTATGAGAAAAAGGGCAAGAATTATTTTTTACTTAAAAACATTTCTGTGGCATGTTTCCACCCAAACAGGGTTCCCACAGTAGCAATCATCAAAACATCGAAGCATTTAAAATAAAGTATGTCTATATAATTAACTAAAAACATATTTATTTTACTTACTTGATTTATATCCTAACTTTCTCCCCAATGGGAACCCAAAACGGCTTACATTGTTCTCCTGTCCTCTGTTTTATACTCACAACAATCTGGGTTTCCCAGACCCTAGTCCGACACTCTAACTACTACACCAGGGGTCCCCAACCTTTTTGAGCCTGCAGGCACATAAGGACATCAGAGAAGCCAATGTTGGATCAGACCAATGGCCCATCTAGTCCAACACTCTGATCACACAGTGGCCAAAAACACCAGGTGCCATCAGGAGGTCCAGCAGCGGGGCCAGGACACTAGGAGTCCTCACACTGTTGCCCCCCCACCCCAAGCACCAAGAATACAGAACATCCCTTTTCCCAGACCGAGAGTTCCTATAAGAACATAAGAGAAGCCCATGTTGGCTCAGGCCAATGGCCCATCCAGTCCAACACTCTTATCACACAGTGGCCAAAAACACCAGGTGCCATCAGGAGGTCCACCAGTGGGGCCAGGACACTAGAAGCCCTCCCACTGTTGCCCCCCCCAAGCACCAAGATGACAGAGTACCCCTTGCCCCAGCCTGAGAGTTCCTATCTATACCTTGTGGCTAATAGCCACTGATGGACCTCTGCTCCATATGCTTATCCAATTCCCTCTTGAAGCAGTCTATGCTTGTAGCTGCCACCACCACCTCCTGTGGCAGTGAATTCCATGTGTTCATCACTCTTTGGGTGAAGAAGGACTTCCTTTTAAGCACCTTTGGAATTCTGAAACAGTGTGATGGGCGCAGCCGCAAAATGGCCGCTACATGATGCCTGTCACAATAAGCGAAGTCAGCCACGCAATGGCTGCCACAGCTTACCTTCAGTCACACAGTGAAGATCCTTGTGTTGTGGTGACAACGGCTGCCAAGGCAGCGTTTTTAAAAATCTGCACCACAGATCAAATCTCCAATCAGAAGCCTTGCTGAGCAGGACTCACCCGCCCCCCCCTTTCTAAAAACGCTTGATGGGCACTAGAAAAGTGGGTGCCGTGGCCCCCACGGGAACCAAGCTGAGGATCCCTGCACCACACCGATAACAGTTACCGGGGGAATGCCAAACAAAACCGATCACCACTTTGGAGTCATGAAGCTGTTTTTCTCCAGGCCCGTTTGGCCAGAGATCCTGGAGGGTTTGGTGGTTGTTGTTTTTGCCCTTTTCTGCACATAGAGCAAGGGGTCACTGGGGGGGGGGGAGGAATTTGTGAATTTCCTCCATTGTGCAGGGGGTTGGACTAGATGACCATGGAAATCCCTTCCAACTCAATGATTCTATGAAAACAAAAACAAGTCTTTACCCACTGGTGAAAGACAACAGAGGGGAACAGACAAGTCTCCCTGGGGAATGCAGGGAGGGCCAAAGTTTTGGTGCCATAACATTGCTAGTGGTCTTCCAGACTTTTTGTTTACTATCTCTGGTTCAGTTCTCTGCTGTATTTACCCAGCATTTTTGCCTTTTTATAGTCTTCTCTCTGAGTTCTAGGAGAAGTTATTATAAGGTTCGGGGAACACCTGAAGAGTAGGGTAAGTCCCACCACTGAGACAGGAGTCTGAAACGAAGACCTGCCTCCTTAACTGATTGTTGGGAATCCCTCCGGCTGAGAAATAGTACGAGACTCAACACAGCTAGTGAACAGTGAATCAGCTTTATTCAACGAAGTCAGAAGAATCAGAACGATAACATGAACGAGACAAAAACATAGAGCAACAGGCTCTCTTTTAAACAGTCCGGGCTTAGGTAGCCACGCCCATATGTCAGCGAACAACCAATAACATAAGAACATAAGAGACGCCAATGTTGGATCAGGCCAAAGGCCCATCCAGTCCAACCCTCTGTCACACAATGGCCAGAAATACCAGGTGCCATCAGGAGGTCCACCAGTGGGGACTATTTACAGATAAGGTCCAATCAGAGGGCTTCCCTCCTGAACCTTGCGCAGCTCTGATTGGTCTATTTACAATCCTTTTTCAGACTCAAGCTTAACATAGTATTTTAATACACAACAGAAATGTACGCAACTAATTGATGTTCCCGGGGCAGCGGGCTGTCAGATGTTTTCTGAACTTTTTGAACAGATTCATAATATAAGATGGTTCCAGTACTTCACATGTGGAACTTTATAAGTTCCCAAACAGTCCCAAATCAACTTCAGATTGAACAAACTCATTCTGAAAAAGGTAAAGGTAAAGGTTCCCTTGCTCGAAAGCCAGTTGAATCCGACTCTAGGGTTGCGGTGCTCATCTCCGTTTCAAAGCCGAAGAGCCAGCGCTGTCCGAAGACGTTCCCATGGTCATGTGGCCGGCATGACTAAACACCAAGGCGCACGGAACGCTGTTACCTTCCCACCAAAGTGGTCCCTATTTATCTACTTGCAATGTCTTGCTTTCAAAGTGCTAGGTTGGCAGGAGCTGGAACTAGAGACGGGAGCTCATTCCGTCTTGCGGCACCCGGGTCTCGAACTGCTGAACTACTGACCTTCCACAGCCTGCAATTCAGCGTCTTAACCACTTGAGCCACCGCTGATATATAAAAAAGTGATATAAAAGGGGTGATATCTGCAGTTAGCTGAGTCTTCTGCAAGTGTCAGAATCCACATTTGAATATTTTAATGACAAATGGCAAAAGATAGTTGGTCCCATGTCAAACAAAGAATGGCAAGATATTTTGGCTGCTTCTGCCATATGTATTAACCTAAGGGAAAAATGATTAAAAATCAGTGGCTATCTAACCCCACATACATTGAAATGAATATATAAACACTGATATTTACTGATGCGGGATTTGCGGCTCACAAAGAACGGGATTTAAACACTCATGGTCGAGTTGTTCTGTGATTAAGAATTTTTGAAGGAAAGTATTGAAAGAAATGACCCGGATGCTTGGTATTATATTGCCAGAGGATCCTACGGTCTGCTTATCAGGGTTGCTGGATGATTTTGTCCTATCTAAATTCAGTGCACCGGTGTACAAGATATGCTTACTACAGCAAGGATCTTAATTGCTGGTAACTGCGAAGAATACAAAGACATTAACTTTTTAAAATTGAACAGATTTAGAGTCCAGTGGCACCTTTAAGACCAACAAAGATTTATTCAAAGTATGAGCTTTTGTGTGCAGGGCACACTTTTCCAAATAGTACCTTTGTTGGTCTTAAAGGTGCCTGACTGGACTCTAAATTTGTTCTACTGCTTCAACACGGCTGACTACCTGGATCTGTTTTAAAAATTGGTTAACTAATGTATGGCAGCTAGCAGAACTGATGAAATTGATGGAACTAGTACAACTGAGGAATGGTCATATTAAGAAACCTCATTTTGTAGAGAGTTGGCAACCATTCTATTCAGTTTGGCATAAAGAGTTACACCTTTCTACAGACTTGTTTAACCGTGCGATATTTCTATGAAGAAGAGCAGGAATAAACATATATTCCTAAATTATTACTTACGAGTTAGAATCTGACGAATAACTAGATCAGTTTATACTGATAACTGATGATGAGTGGTTGTCAAATGAAGCAATAATTATATATAGTAGTAGTAGTGGTTAGCAAGCTACATGGCGTTATTATAAATTCTGTTTCATGTATTTTTATAGTCTACTTATCTTGCTGATTCTTGACGAATAACTAGATCAATTTATACTGATAACTGATGATGAGTGGTTGTCAAATGAAGCAATAATTATATATAGTAGTAGTAGTAGTTAGGAAGATACATGGCGTTATTATAAATTCTGTTTCATGTATTTTTATAGTCTACTTATCTTGCTGATTCTTGATGATATACACATTTATTCATACTTGGCTGTCCCACTCAATATGTAATTGGTTTAGTTGTTGATTTCTTGTAAAGCATATGCAATAGAAAATTTATATATAGATATGTACATGGAAGCTTGCAGATATGTACAATGGTTTTGTCCTCCATTTAACACAGGCTCCCTCATCTGCCGACCAAGTGCCTTACGGTGGACTTGCTCTCTCTTTCTTCCACCTTGTAGAGTAGGCTGTGGGACGACCTGTGCACATTCCTTTTAGACAGCCAGGCTCTAGATTCTGCAGAAGCTGAGGTATGCAAAGCAATGCACACTATTAGCTGTGCAGCTACCCAGCCATCTGCTCACCAGAAAGAGCCACCAAGCACCATCTTTAAATACCATTAACGATTCGAAAGACTGTACGCTTAAACCGGGAGGGGAAAGCAGTGAACCACACGGAGACCTGAATGGATGCCGCAGCCACTACATCCTCCTCTTAACTGGCGGGATTCATATTAATTTTATGTACAGCACAGCTACAACTGTGCCACCCCTACAAGCCAAGTGCTTAATGTAGCATTGCGCATCCTCTCAGGAACACCATCACATCTCTGTCACAGAGATCACGCAGAGTGAAATGCTATATTGGTGCTACTTTCCCCCACTTATCAACAAACAAAACACACGAGGAAGCACGGGCAAAGTGTCAGCATGGCACTTGCTTTAATAAAAACCCAGCCTTAACGTCATCAAGCCCTTCCATTAGTTAAAAACAGGGGTCATTTCCTGCCGGAGCGCCCTAGAGCGGTGCTCCGGCAGGAAGGAGCCCAGGCCCCACCCACCCCTTTCCTAGACCGCCCGGACTCAGGCACGGGAGGAGATTGCCACGGTGGGTTGTCTGGAGAGGGGAAGGGGAGGGGAGGAGGGGAAGGGGAGGTGCACAAACATGCCCTACATTCCCCCTGAGCCTCGGGGGGGGGGGTTAAATGCCTGGCTTTCCTGCCTCCCTGCCCTCCCCCTCCCCAGCCAGCCCACCAC